TGGTTCTCTCCATATCAAATAACGCCTACTATTGCTTTCTAGACTAAACCTGGACTCATCCATGGCCGACTACAGGAACGGCCACGGAAGCTCTGGCGTGACGTCACAACCTCCGTCTATACTCGACGATTTCAACCCGATGATCGAACTTCCATCGTCGCAAAACATAATAAAATATGCTTTCTTATATCACATTTGAAATGCCTTATATACCTAATATGCAGTTATTTTACCTTTGTGATCATATTATTTATGCCTGATTTAGAAAATTAAAAAAAATTACAATTTAAAATGCAAAAAATAATTGACCAAATAGTGTAAATACATATTTATCGACTTTCGTAGAAGTTTCTCTTACATAGTGTGATTAATTAAATATCGCGCACTCCTTCGTGTATGCTTTCATCATTTATAAATTTATATTTTCAAAGGATTAAAAATTAAAAAATAATTAAAAAAATTATTTGTAATAATATGTTCTTAAATGAGCTTTGCATAACATGCACAGAAATGATCCTTTCATGGAGCAAGAAAATTTCACAAATTAACAAAACACAAATAAAAAGGAGAATTTTTTATTTTAATCAAAAGATCAATTATCTTGCAGAAGAATTTCATAATAGTATTGGAAGAGTTTAAAAATTAGGAAATATAAGAATTCAGAAAAAGAAAAATTAATAGAATGATATAAAGGAAAGTGTATAATAAATTACACAACGGGAAAAAAAATTATCTTGCAGCTTCAGATACATTGATTTTATAATAAAATGTTTTTTACTTAGTTTTAGTTATAGCATGCTATTATTATATAAGTAATTTACCTTCATAATAAAAAATAAGCAAGTAATCAATTTCCTAGTTTCATTTTCCAATAAACTAACTTAAGCCAAACATCTTAATGTTAGACACACTGCCTGAAGATATTCTCATGCCTTTGATATGTAACTATAACTTTATTTTAAATGCTGCCAACAGCATAAAACAATTAAATTATACGACAACACTCATATAAACCAAACATTTTAATATTAAACACTGAGTTTTAAAATATTCTAATTTAAATCAGAAACCCCAACATTATTTTTATGGTTTGAAACAATTTCAAGGCAAAAGTTTCAAACATCCAACATTTACCACAAACATTTTTTACATTACCTATACACATATTCGTAACATACAAGCATCTAGGTTAGAAGATTATAAATATGTAGGTATTTTCTTTTCTGATGTCCTTTTCAGAAACAATATGCAAGGGTAGATTCACATAAACTAAACTTAATGCCATTAATGAATATCCAAAACAAAACTACAGAACTCCCAGAATATATCAGATTGAAACTGTGATAAAATTTACATAAATCATATACTTGAACATGTAAAATATATTTGAAAAGAACTTTGTTGATTTAAACAAATAACCGCATCATTGTTTTAAATGCTATAAAGGGATTAAATATCCAAATTTTACAAAAATCATAAAAAAACATTTTATAATAATTCTATTTACATCCAAAGTATCTTATTACCTATGTCAAAAATATACCATCATGATCATAAATAAGGAGAATATTAGTTTTCTGAATTTATTTTCAGAACTGTAATTGTTATGATTAGACTCATATAGACCAAATTTTAACAATAACTACATTATTTGAAACAGCATGAATGGCATTAAAAAATTTCCAAAAGATTTTCTTCAATACAGCAAAAACCATGAAACACTCATCAGATCAGAATCAAATTTATTATTAAATTCACATAAATCTTCCATTTGAACATAGCACAATACAATTTTAAAAGAACCTGTTTGATTTAAGTAACTAACCATTAGCAACGTCTTTAAATGCCTTTTATACCAATTTTTTCAGAATCATAAAACACTTTTTTATGATAATTCTATTATTACCTACATTAGAAATATACTATTATGTTTATAAATAAGAAGCATAGTAAGCCTTTTTTATTTTCAGAATCTTAACAATAAGCACACTACTTTAAAGAATGTTAATTCCAATAACCAATTTACAAAGCATTTTCTTCAGTACAGCAAAAACCATGAAACACTCATAAAATTTATGATTGAATTCACATAAATCATATATTTAAATATAACACACACAGCATGAAAATAACCTAATTAATTTAAGAGAATATCTGCAGCAGTGTTTTACAACAAAGGCCTTAAATATCCAAATTTTACCAGAATCGCAAAACAATTTTTTTACGTTAATTCTATTAACCTTCAAAAGTTCTTATTACCTGTATTAGAAAAACATCTTAATGAATATAAATAAGTAAGCAATCATTTTTTACTTCACTCTTATGCAAATAAATAAAATTCTTATTAATAAACATTTTAACCTACAAATATACTATTTTGGGAGATTTTAATACCATAAAGTTGTAACAAAAGGACTCTTTGGAGTAGTGAAAAAGTGTTTTAAACATAAGGATTACATAATAATTATATATATGATTAAGTTGGCAATAACAATTATTTTAAAGTTAGATAAATAAATTTGAAAAGGGTTTAAGCAAACATCTGCAATTAAGTACTTTTTCCTTGTGATGCCCTTAAATACCCTGATTTTTTATTTGAATTATGATGTTTTATTTTATAAGACAAATAACAAGATGGTAAAATAATTCTTAAATATTGATTATAAATTGCTATGATAATAAAAATTGCTTTTCACAGATTCTTGAACTTTTTCAGTTTTCTTTCCCCATTTCTTTCAAGGGACTTTAAAGAAATGTTTTTTACATAATTGTTCAAACAAAATATTAAGAAAAGTCTTGACGACACTCATGATTATTATTTTCATATGGCAAATGACATTCACAGCATCTCTCACTAAAACACACTACATCATTCATTTTGAGATGAGCCTCAGTTATTTTTGTAAGAAGCTGGTGTTGTTTTTCCATTGTTGTGGATAAAATGCTTCTCATATTTTTCAGATATAATAGTTTGGAAAAGTAAATATGCAGTTGATATCAACAACACCATATTTTCTGTCGGGTATTTTAAACCTCCTCGATTTACAATATCAATATATGCATAATTTGTTTCCGCTAATGTACCATCACAAGTTTCGATTAATAATTCTTTGTCCAAGACGCAGAAATCTATGCAAGCACTGCAGTTAGTTTTAATATTTCTTGTGCAGTAACCAGCAATGTATGTGATAACTTCTGCATCAGTGTCCGAAACTGCAGCCAATTCTACACCATTGCAAATAATTTCATTAAAAGGTGTAAGATCAACATCTTTACTCATTTCTTTAATGTCTGAAAATTCTGTAACAAACTGTTTTAAAGAGATGTTACCATATGAATTAGAATGAAGATGAAGAATGGACTTCAATTTAATTTTTCTTTCAGACTCCAGAATTTGCTGAACTGAAACATGGTAACTTCCTCCAGACATCTGACGATATTGCGAAAATCTGTATTCCAATTTATCAGTCTGAAATTTGGAAGTTAAAATAAATTTTGAGCTATTTACTAAAAGCTCTTTAATTACATCGATGATTGCATTTGTTGTCTGATAAAGAGCAAAATAAGTTTCCTCGCTTAAACATCCGCAACGAGACTGTTGCTTCATGTTTTTCCACTGCTCAAGCCAACAACAGAATTTTTCCAAAAACCTAAATCTTTTATCATCAGGTGCAGTAAATGCTTTGCTGTCTTCACATTTTATATAAAGGCTTTTGTTTAGGTGCCTCACATTCATAATGTTCCACCATTTTCTGTTAATTTGCAAAAATTTCACCGTATCCTGCCAATTATCAATGCAGTGTTCCTTTCCCAATAATTGAAGAGCAGCATCATTACTCTCATGAAAAATATTTACAGCAAACTTCACATTTTGTTTTTCTAAACTTGAAGGATATAAACTTTTGAATGAAAGTTTATGGCCCATTTTCACAATTGAGGTCTTCTCCTTATGATATATATTCCTTAGATGCGAAAATTTAGGAATTATACATTTTGATGGATCATCAAAATCAGGACAACAAAATGTTTTTTGGGTGTCTAACTGATTAATCCAATTATTTCTTATTGATTTCAAAAGGTGTACTGAATCAAAAAGTAAGAATAATTTTTTCTCGTTATTTGCAGGGTTGCAGACATGAGTTGACATTTGTTTATGACCTAACTTCTGAAACATGTTCCTGTTTATTCTGTTGTTATCAGAAATCATCGAAACAACTGAAAATCCTGCTTCATTCAGAATATGAAGAGCTTTGCGGGTCAGGCAGCATAAATAATCTGCATTTATATTATTAACAGTAACTAAGGCAACAGTTTCTTTATAAGATGAATAAATAGAGCTTATCATGAAAGCTTGTACAGTTGTAGCTTCAGTATCGGATTTATTTTCTGCAAAACCTGATATTGATTTCCCTTTATAAGCGATTGATTTCTTTACATAAATTTCATCAATTAGTAGATTTACAATTCTATTTTCATCGTTCAATTTGTTGAATTTTTCACTCATGTATTTTTTTGTATTCTCATTTTGTAACGAATTGTCGAGATTCAGAATGCTTGTAATTTTACTTAAATGATCGGTTGATGGCATTGACAATAAACCGCTGTCGTACAAGGAAGAATAACATGATGAGGACTTCATGTATAAAGAATATGCAAAAATTAAAAGTTCACTGCTGTACCTTCGAGCCATTTTAGATTTATCACACAAGTTCATTTGCTCTAATATGAATTTTTTATTGTCATACACATCTTCATCAGAGAAATGCATTTTTTCCAATGATACACAGACTTTTCTTTTTCACTAGGAAGCACTTCATTTAAGTCATCTTTCTGCATATTTTTAATGAAACTTAAAATATTTTCCAGTTCACTCCATTGTAAAAGATTATCTGGGTTATTTAGAATAATTTTGAAGTGAGATACAGGAACAGAAATATCACCAAGAAAAACATTTAAACTCATATCATTATTGATTTTTATGCTTGAAAGTACCCTTGGTGCTGACAATTTAAATTTTAATTTAAATTAATTAAAAATACATGATCACTGTTTTTTATTACAATTGGTTTTGAAATTAAATTGAACGAATTTACCCGTAGATCCAATTGTTCACAAAAATCAATAAAACTTTTGATTCGGTCTTTATCTAAAAATTGCTGAAATGCAATTTCATCTGATTTTGCAAGTTTTTCAGATCTACTTGTTCTTGGAGTAGGTTTGTTTTCCGTCAGGTATTTTGGGCAATTAGGAAATATAGAGGGATAAGCACCTTCCTTCAGTTTTGGACATTTTCTTGGCACTTTTAAGATAGCACCATCTCTGTCTGATATTTCGTCAATTCTTATAATATCCGATTGAATAAAATGTTTTTCACACACAACGCTTCTTGCAGATGGCGACCAGTTTCTTCGTGGAATCTTCTTGCACCATATACTTTTCTTTTCAACGTCTTTTGGAAATTTAAAAACAGAAACGTACGTTCCAGCTTTGTCATAATTTGACTGGCATCCTGGGACACAGCATCGATCTGGCATTATAAATAATATAAAATAAAACGGTTTAAAATATTCGTTATTAACGAGAAACACTAAATATTTACGCTACTCCAACGGCACACATCCATTCTCACACTCAAACGTTCTTTCCTCAGACGGAGTTCGTGACGTCAGATCACATGACTTCTGAGCTTCCGTGGCCGATCCTGTAGTTGGCCATGACTCATCCATAAAGAGAAACGCCCACAATTGATCAGGCGTCCAGTGGACATGTTGTCGTGCCCACTGAAAACGGTCCCTCCTATGGCGTGACGTGAGCAGCACACAAATGACTGGTCGCCTCGCATACAGACCACCTTCGTGAAGCCTTCTACGCACAGTTGACGTTGACACGAACCTTCCGGTGGCTGCAGCAAGGGAGGATCTAAGAAGAGTCGGAGTAGCGGTTCTATTCCTGCGTGCACATAATGTCAAATATCGGTCATCGGCGCTCGTCGTAGCAGTTGGCCGTCCTTGGCTGAACCTCCTAGATGCCGAATCTGTGGTTTGAAATTGCCTCCAAAGTCTATGAACCACAGAAGGACTCACATTTAACCATGTGGCCACTTCTGTTTGACTTTGTCCTGCCTCTAGTCACCCAATGGCTCTCCATCGCAGTTCTGCAGGCAAATGAAGTCTGGAGGTCATTGTTACGAACTGACTATCTCAGATTTCTGATGTCACTGTCACAGTGAAATATGTGGGCTTGCTCTCAAACATGGACTTTTATGCTCCTCGCAGATGACGTATTTCGAAAGCAGAGCCACTAATTTGCATATCGCAGTTTTACTCTACTCTTACTTGGCAACATATTCAAATTTTACACGGTTTGGTTTTTGTTTGAGGGAGTTATCGCTATTTTTGTGATTTTTCCTTAATTTATGATAACGAAAAAGATTTTTTTTTCCTTTTCCTAATTAATATGCTGTGAAAGTACCTATGTATTTCTGGTTATATTTATGTTAAATTAAACAAATTCTATTGCTCTTTTCAAGAAGAAATTTTCTGTTCGTTTAATATTATTAAAATAGCCGTGGACAGACATTATTGCATTAAGCGATGTCTATTGTATTAACAATAAAATAAAAATTTTGAAAAGATGAATTTTGAATTTTATTTTCAAATTTATTGTATTAATGATTTATTTGCATTTTGCGCAGTTACATTTGGAGGATAAGTTCATTTGGTTACGCAAACTAAATTTGCCTTCAGAAAAAGACGACACTTCAAAACTGAAAGAACACTATTTTTTTTAGAGTATTCTTGTGTTTTGATTGAAGTCAGTGGGGATCAGAGAATCAGTGGCTGTAGATATGTAATTTATTTTTTCGATTTAGGAACACATTTTCAGGGAATGACCTTCTGGTTCATGTAGAATTAAACTGCGTACTTAGTCGATAACTATAGTAAAAACAACTCTTGAATAATTTGACATCACCGTTGTTTCCTACCTATTTTCTTTTTGTATTTCCCATAGGAATTTTGCTTTATTCTAATGGTTTGTGATTAGAGATGGGCAAAACGCTCTTTTATTGGATCGGATCAGAACCGTTCGCTCACTTAAATGAATCGATTCATTTTTACAACTCACCGCTTGCTAACAATAACTTTGATGAAAATAATCGGAACGAGGAATTAATAAAGAGGGGTTAGCGAGGCTGGAGAAAAAGACAAAAAGAAAGGAACGAGCAGGGGGATCGGGAGCGGTTAGCGAGGTTGGAACATAGAGCGAAAAGAGTCGAACGAGAAATGGAATGGAAAAAAAAAATGATTTCATGAACTGATTTCTTTCATCTTTAGTTTTGAAAAAGATTCCCTAAAACATCTTTTCTACGCAGAACTGACAATACGGTTCTACAGTAAAATTTTTCAAAATGTTGGGAAATGGTAAAAATTAAAGTCTGTTTTAACGTGTTAGGATACACATTCTTTTCTCCTTTAAAATCAGAATTGACCTTTCATGACATGCTCCCAACAGAGCTCCATCCTTTATTCGCGAAATGGACTTGCTCAGTAAAGTTAATCATTTCGTAAACAAATCGAAGTTCTGGCACGCTTCCAACAAGAGCTGCCCCTGAAGCTGTAAAAGAACTAGAGCTGTGTTTTCAGGAATCGGAATAAATTCGCTTAGTAAACTGAATCGATTCTTTAAATTAGTTTCGGAATGTATCGTCCAACCCTATTTGTAATAATAATGTCTCCATTATTTGTGAATAAACAAATTTAACACATTTTTCTAGACAAGGTCTGGTTAATTCGGCTGGTTTAATCGGAAGTATACTGTTCTTCTACTCAAAAGAGGAGGGGGAGAAGGAAGAATAGGAATTAATGGACAATTTTAACATGGAATTTTACAGATATTTTTCTTTCGCTCATTATATGTAATTCGTATCAAAGATTTAGATATCAGCATGGTATATCTGCATTTATACTCCTGAATCTGGCTGTTATATATTTTGTAAATTCAGATTGTATATGGGTCAAATACTTGGTTTGAAAACAGGAGATGAGCCAGAATTTTTTTTAACAAAATGAAATTTTTTTATTAAATATATATAAAAAAAATTTTAATAAATTTTAAGTTTTCTCTTACTAAATAATTATCAAAACATACATAAATAACAATACAACTATCTCAAAAGGAAATTCAAATTTATATTTATTTTCTAGCTGAAACCTAAAGTTTAATATGTGGAAGACATCTTCGTTCCTTACATTTTGTAATTCAAATATACTGACAGTTAAATATTACATTTTTAGACTGATATTTATTTCGAATAATTTTAAAATGTTAGATAAAATAACACGCCTAATAGCAATTATTGGAGAAACTAAAGCAAAAAGAATCAGTATAATATTCATAAATTTGCAGAATTAAATTCGAAGGTTTAAATATAGAACGTTCTTATTCAACTGCGAAAGTGCAAATGACGAAAGAGAAGCAAGTGATAGAAAAAGGTAAGGAGATAACAGTGAAAAGAAAAAAAGTTAAGGTACTTGTGCCATCTGTTGATGAAGGCTCTCTTAGTTTGATCAATGTAAATTAAACCACATTGGTAAGGAGTCCTGACGGCTTCTTTTCCGTCATTTGCACTTCTGCAGCCGAAGCAGAATCTTCTATATTTAAAGCTTTGAAATTAGTCCTGCAAATTTGTGAATATTACGCTGATTCTTGTTGCTTTACCTCCCTCAAATGACTTTAAAATGTTTAAATATATTTTTCTTCGATGCAAAAATAAAAATACATGTGTTTGCACGTAGGATGATGATAAACATCTTTATTTTTTTACTACAGCTTGACACATGATGGCCTTTCGATTTTGATGAAGTTTTTAGCTTTGGAGAAAAAATTGCTAGAATTTGTCTTCATCACGGATTGAAGATGCTCATTGGGCTCGTTTCTTATTAATTTTCAACTGCAGAAAAAAGCTGTTTGCATATAAATGTATTCCAAAACAAAACGATTATTCTTAGTACAAAAATTCGGAACTGAGCGCACTTATTTTTCGCCAAGCAAGAACAAAAGTTTTTTTTTCTTTTTTTTAAGGGGGGGCACTAGACATTTTTAGGCTTTCGCCACTACTAAGGCCGAAATAGGTTGTCATTTTATTATGAAGGCAGCTAATAGGCGGCCATCGTTACCTCCTATGAAGGGACAGACAATTTGCATCCATACCTTCTCCGGGATTCGAGCCCCGGACTTTTTCCTTATTGGCAGTCTGAGTCACTAACTACTTTCTCGTCTGGGTAGCCAGAATAAATGTTGATGAAATCTGTATCTTTAAATCTTTGAATCAAATTTTTCAAATCTTTATGCCACACTGTAAATTAATTAACTCCATTTAATAGAATTTCTCGTGTATTATCCATCTTTAGTTTTAATCGTAATGTAAACTAAAATCTTGAGATTCTTTGCAGCACCGTATTTGCAGCATATACATAATTGAAATTTATTCACGGGCCGCATATAGTTGTTCCTGGGCCCCCAATTTGAAACCACTGCATTGGTCATTGCAATACATAGTGTATTGAGTAATTAGAAACAATTATAATACAGTCTATTTACTGAGATAATACCGGGGATGACATGTAAGGTTAACCCAATGGACTGCATTGGATAATGATAAAGAAGAAAGGACTCTATTCCTAACAGCAGAAATGACTTCGGGGAGGACTTTTTAAGGAAAAGTATGTTTAACTGAAAATGCTTATTAATCCGAGAGGAGTTGAAAAACAGGAAAGAGAAATCGTTTACCTTATAATTAACAGGAAAAGTACTGCTAACAATTTACCTGTACTTTTAAGCAATTAAATCAGGAAAATATGTTTATTTAGTTGCGTAAATTCAACGTATATATATATAAAGAAAACACTGAAAGTAATGAAAGAATAAATATTATTAAAAGCAAACTACTGCCATTCATGAACAATGTTTAAGAAAGAAATTGAAATATCTCAACTCGTTCATACTGGCGTAAAAATATCGGAACTGTTTGTTTTCTGATGTTCAGTGTTTATACACCTGGAAGACGTATAATTAAATAACATAACGTTTGAGGATAAAAGTAACTATCTTCCAAATGTTACATCATCTACTATGATTGTTGTTTTTCCGGACAGCATATTTCACAAGTGCACATCTGTGTAGCCACCCAAGGAGTGTCTTCTAGGATGGACCAATGGGCATCCAGTAATATTTCTGTCATGTCACATGACCTTTCGCGTGCTTTAAGATTTAAGCAAGATGGTTAAAATATTTTGCCACGCAATTTTCTGTAGAAAATAACTAAAGCATCGTCGATTTCTTCTGGAAATTTTCATTGCGAAAGTTAGATCAAATATAAGCAATTTTGAAGATTTCACTACCAGGGTGAAAGAATTTGAAATACATACAAACATATGTTGGACACTCCGCAAAAATATCCATTTGAAATATTACATAATAAATGGTAAATAAGATGAAGAAAGAAATATGTGATAAAAATCTGAGCCCAAATGCTATCTTTACATAAAACTATGACAAAATATTTACACCAATTATATATGTAAATAGAAGTCAGTACTTTTTATTGTAGTCTATATGAAAAAGATGTTCTATAATAATAGCCAATGCAGAATTTTATTTAAAGTGAACTTTACTAATTTGTATTATACATTTAGGGCGTTAAATTTCACAATTAATAACTGCTCACTCTTAAATGTACTGTCTACACAAGAAATACTCATCAACCAGAGTGAGATTATCTTATTTACAA